TAGTGTTTTGATGGAAAATTAATTTTTTTGGTTTTTTTGATGGACGTAAAGTGTGTGATATTGCCGCGCGACGCAATCACAGACGCCGTCGGCAGAGGTGCCGGCATCTGGACGTGGTAGGGGCACGTCCACATGCCGGCAGGTTGCACTCCACCAAAAACATACTATTTCGTGCACTCTCTGACCTGCCGGCAGGCTGAGGGCGAGATGGCATCAAATTTCGACGAGAAGAGATCGTGAACCTGCCGGCAGGTTCACAATTCGGGCCAAATAAATGGCAAACGAGAAATTTTTTGGATTTCCTTTCAATTCCCATACTATTTCGACAGCAAAACTAGACCGTTATACAAAGAAAAAGATGATCAGCCTAGTTTGGAGGTCTCCGGAGATAGTTTAAGATTATAGGGACCTCAAGTCCACATCAGGGCGAGTTGAGGGCATGAGATGCCGGCAGGTAGGGTGGATTACTATGGGCCCCAGTGTCACCCCCACGCCACAATGAGGCGACCGACCATTGTGGGGGAACCCGTAGTTCACGGCCATTATTTTCGCATCAACTTAATACAACAAGCAGTCTTTTTTTTCACTAAACTTTTTTTGCAAGCTGAAATGAGGTGGATGTAAAAGTTAAAAGATGTGGAGAGCGAGTTATAAAGTAAAGACAATAAACGGTAGTCGGAGCTTGTAATATTGTAAAGATTTCCTAAGCATTCCTAATTTGCGTTTCTTTCCGTTCTTTTTGATGTGCTTTTTAATGAAGACCGCATTCTACCACCTTGATTTTATAATTAGATTGTCATCTCGCTATATTGGTGATTCTATTGCAACTTATTGTCCACATCTATTTATATATCGATTTAATTATGGAGTGCATACGAAGTGTGCCGAAATGAACAAAAAACAACAGTAGCATGGTGACCGATTTGATCAAAACCATACCTTGAAGTGAGCAAGTCGTTCTCCATTCTTGGAAGGTGAGAGATACCTCGCCGAGGTTATGTTCCTTTTTTTTTGCAATGCTCGGTCGTGCGAGCTACCTATTTATTTACAGACGTAATCACGAAGGAAAATATCACAACAGCCAAACTCAACAAACATAGATGTACACAACAGTTTCGCACGTCTAAGTAAATGTTATTACAGGTGGAGAAATAACGTGGGCCCACCGTTACAATCAATAGCGGCGATTATGAACTTTAGCAGCACTTTGCTTTCGACATTGTATGTGTGCCAAGTTGTCCATATTTCGATCACCTGTTCCTCTTCAATTACGCCGACCAAGTTTCGCAAGCACTCGGATTTTGAGGTAAATGCTTATTTTGCTTAATACTTTCTTAGCGAAATTTGCTTTGAAGCGTCCTTCTACAAAATTGAGGCATTAGGTAAGCGTCTGACGTGAACTTTTGAAGCTTACAAATAAGCCTAAAATTAAAGTTTCTCTTCTGCTGTTTAGGACGTATACTACAATCTGTCAGTTTCTGAACCTTCTAAATGACTCATTTCAGCGGATGCTTCCAATTAGGTGTTCTGTAAGTAATGTAGCACAACTTTTGTGTTTTCTAATTTCTTCCATTTTCAACGAATAGCTTTGATCCCGAACATCTTGAAAAGAACAACAACATCTTTCTGGGGGAGTTGTGGAACTTTGTGTAGAAATTCAAAGGTATGGTTAAGGTAAAACAGGTGTTGAGATCTTTGCGGCGCTTGAAAGGGGTAACGACTGACATGAGTTTATTATATTGAAGGTAATTATAGCATAAAACGCCCTGGTAGTGATCGTGGCTCCATTTGAGCTCATAGAATGCAGTGAATGATTTTACTACAACCACGCGTTCGAATTTTTGCTTTAAAAAAATTTCCATAACTTCCCTCCCACGAGCGGAATCAGCGTTCTGTGCTCTACAAGGCAATATACATTTCATATAGAAACGCCACGTAATTTCATTGAGACTGGAGCTCTGTCTTTTTGAGCTGCAGTCTTACACGTTCCCAATCTTCCAAGATTACACTAGCAGATTTATGTGGGATGAAGCCGAAGCAATCCCCTTCTCCCTTCTTTCGCACGAGCTAAGACTATTTCATGTGAATCTAGTATCAGTTGGCTGATTGCTGAATGTGGGGTGAATAAAAGTTTCTCGTAGTAATTTAGTAATTTCTGGCAACATTCTCATAGTGCTAACCCAATACATACATCACTTTTTCATATCAGGTAAAAGAAAGCTCACAGGTGGCAAGTTTTGCTGACAATTCACCTGAGATAGAACTATCCAAAACATTTTTTTTCTAAAAAATCTTTCTTGAAGACAGCGTCTCGGCAAAATTTCGCTGTTCAGTTTTCACCTATCCGAGCCGAACCATGAGGAACTCATATCTAAGGCTTTTCAGAACATGAAATTGGCGGAAATGAGGCCTTTTAAAGCTTGCCAGGTCCGCAATCAGTGAAAATACGCCGGAAGTTTTCTGCGCCCAGCCTCCCTCGTTTCGGACTCCGCCCATTTACGTATTTTCCACTGAATGCGACTTGAAAGGCTTCAAGTATAGCTCATTTTCGCCATTTTCATGCGCTGACAAGCCCAAATATCTGCTCCTCATGGCGAGAAGGCCCCGAAAAGGCAAAACACTGAAAAACGAAATTTGGTGACGCTGCCTTCAAACCTTAGGCCATTCTTATACGTTCAGATACGTGCAAGGCAGTGCGTATTGAGGACGCGGGAAGGAGGAAGGCAGGAAATTTTTTTTGAAGTTACTTACAATAATAAAAATCAAATTTTTAAAGAACTTGAAAGAATTAGTTTTGTAGAAAGAAAACTTCGGAAATGGCTACCCCTACGCCCCATAAAATTTCGGGGATATGAGCCTGCAAAAATCTTGGGAAGCATTCTAATAAAATTTTAATAGTGTGTAGCTGACGGCAAGATACTTTTGTTCCAATCCTTGCCCCCCCCCCTCCTCTCCCTCACCCCCGAAGGTACAATCCTGAGACCGCCCGCCAATGGTGCAAGGCGCTGTTAAACTGGCACACAAGGGCCGCCTTTTCGGAGAAAACTAAAAGAATTTGGAATTTGAGGAGCATGGCATTGGGCATTTCAACATTTTCGAAGCTTTCAAAGTTTCTTACAAAGTTGAAATGTGAATAAAATAGCACCTGCTGCCGAAATTTGCAACAAAAAAAGGCGGATCCAACATAAGTTACAAACTATTAGCATCACCTCAAACTTATACACAGCACTACGCCACCCCTACAAAAAAAATCGTACCAGCACCCTTTCCCCTCACCCAATCCTTTCCCCGAGATTTTTTGACCACTAAGGATTAGAGGACATAGTTGAACAATGGCAAACTTCGCCTATAGCGTGCAGGACTACATCTGAATAATTTCATGGCGGTCTGAAAAAATTTTTTTAGGGCGGGGGTGACAAAAGATTTCTCGAACGGTTGGGCGTGACATCCACGCCCTTTCCAAAAAATCTTTGGGATGTTCTTTAAAAGTCTTAGGCCCGTATGCACGTACATCCCCGCTGGGGAGGGGAGGGGAGCTGGATCCCCAGGGGAGCGATCCCCTTTATTGAACCCCGCTATGCCAGAGGGGAGGGGAGCTATCCCCTCCCCTGCACCTACAGCGGGGAGGGTGTCATTGCGGTAGTCGCATCTAGCTCACGGCTACCTGAACATCTCCCCAAAAAGCTATTTTCAGATGAGAAAAGAGGAGAAATTACCACAAAAAGCGGAAGCGAAATGATTTCGCCGCTCGATCTCCCCTTCTGCATAAGGAGGTTCCCTTCCCCTACTTCCAGGGGATCCCCTCCCCTTGCCTTTGTGCATACGGGGGTTCGCGTGGGGAAGGGAGGGGAGCTCCAGCGGGGATCATTTTAATGGTTAAGCGCACATCCCCTCCCCGCTGGGATGTACGTGCATGCGGGCCTTAGAGGATCTATAACCCGAAAAGGGGCGTGGCTGAAGGCCACATCTCCAAAAAAAATTTTGCAGGGAATCTGGTTTTGTAGATGTAATTCAGGAACATTTTGATTCTTTGAAAATGAACAGAAGTCATTCGCTCACTTACTCGGACAACTGACCGGAACTTCCGCTGAACGTTCGGGAGAGTTCCGCCAGGTCACCTGCGGAAGCCCCGTAGACGTGCTGCGGAGTTCCCAAATGGGGTGCTGCGGAAGCTCTGAACAATGCGTACGACAACAGCAAAAGAGAAGACCTAAGCGAGATTTAAACCTTACTCTATTAAGTGCGAGACTCACCTACGGCCCTGCACTACGGATGAAATCTCAGACAACTGCCGGAAACTTCCGCAGAACGTTTAGAAAAGTTCCCCCGGGTCACCTGCGGAAGTTCCCAAATGAAGTGCTGAGTCCCGAAGAACGCGAACCACAACAGCAAAAGAGAATACTTAAGTGACGTTTGAACTTTACACCATTGACTGTGAAACTCAACTACTATCCTCCACACTACGGATGACACGTTCGATAGGGCACTCCAATTGTTGGCGAGGCAACATCATGCGAGACAACACATTCAAAACTCTGCGGAAGTACTGGCTTGACAAAAGTGCTGCGAAACCGCTGACATTTTGCGGAAGTTCCGCAGTGCTTTGTAAAACGTCCTGCGGAAATCCCCGTTTTAAACCAGTTTGACGTGAAAATCCTGCGGAAGTTCCCATTTTTAACGTTTCCACTTCTGCAATAGTGAACAAAACCCTGCGGAATCGCTGCAAATTTCGCTTGCCCTGCGGAAGTTCCGATGAATCGTCTGAGTATGTAAACCAAATTTCGCGGTTCATCCTTTGCATTTTCTTCTAGAAAAGCGGATATCCATTTGTATAATGGCGTAATGTTCTCGCTAGGTACTTTGTCAATCAACACAAAGTGTACGCTTGCGACGTACAAGGGTAAAAAGCGTTGCTTAGCAGTGGCGAACCTAAAAAGAGCTTTGTCGCTCATCAAGAATCGCGATGAGTAGCCCGTTGTCGAGTATCGACGGTGGCGAGCGGGTGTTCGCTCGGCCAGTGCATCCGCATCTCACCCCACACTCGTTGCCGTGCTGTTTACCTCGCTCCATTGGCCCCTATCACCACTGGGACAGTGGTCTTATCAATGAAACTAGGCACCCGGGACGGTGCAGAAGGCGACTGTGACGACCAAAATGCCAGCCGCTTCAGCTACCATGTAAGTTTAATAGTTTTCCTGCTGTACAGCTGATTATTGAATCGTACGCCAGTATTGATTGTTGAAATGATTGATGATTTGACGAGCTTATCGTAATTTCTGTGAATTTCTTCGCTGATAGTAAAGAAGCTCAAAAGCTGTAATGAACTAAAGTTTGGAATCGTTTTGCGATCGATAGCCAATTACCAGGGATTAGGGGGGATAATGGACTTAGCGGAGAGGAAAAAGTGCGCCCTAGGTGAGACTGAGAATGTAAGCGAGATTGAGCTTGTGTTTCTGGAAAACTTTAGAAGTGTATAAAATGAGCCGAGATGTTTGAGAATGCAAAAGTTCCTCCCGAAAATAATCATCGTTTAGAAAAAAAAAACCAAAAGTACTCTCCAAAACCACAGTCACAGTAAAAAAAAACTGGTGCAAATTCGTCTCGTTGTTGTACTAATTACTTTCAACGTTCTATGCTCAGGTCAGATTAAGGACTCCAAATTTTTGCAAGGGTTTGCTATCTTATCAAAGAAAAGGTCATAATGGGGCTTTAGTAGCTTTTCTACCGGTAACCTCACCTTGTTTTACAAGGTGATTTTCAGTATCTTTAATTTAGCTTTCTACAAATTGCAAAAATCTGAACATTTATTTCTCCCTGACATTGTCAACAACTTTCTGCAAAACTGTTTATTTTCACCATTATTGACTGATATTTTAAAAGTGGTCCAAATGATTTATAAAGTTGTGCAAGTGACTTTTTTTACTGTTTTTGTTCAAAAAACTCAAATGGCTCTTATAAACCTTCTAAAATCTAAATCGCCTTTATGGAAGGAATTTTGGAAATTTCGAAGAATGCCTCCACTTTATATTTACCCGAAGTTCCGGGATTCTAAGCCTGGCGAGAGTTTCGGAAGCTGCACAAAAACTTTTCCGATGGCTTCTTTCCTTATTCCCCTCCCCCCCCCCCCCCCTCCCCGCGCAGTAATTCTCCTCGGACCGCCGCTAAGTGGCTTGGGTCGGAGACAGGGTCAAGCGTGTTGATGCGATCCTGGACCCTCATTTACGACCCCCCCCCCCTTGAGAGTACCCATCCGTACGACCCCCCCCCCCCCCTCCTCCACTCCCTCCCCCTCCCCCATCTATCCCCCTTACCTCCCCTGCCCACTTCTCGCGGTAAGCTGCATAAACGAATGTCAATCTCAAAAAACACCTGCGTGAGAACTTCAGTGAGGTTTCGGAAGCAGAATTTCTAGGCCAGTGGGTGCGCCCAGCATCTCTAGCACATATACATACTTTCAATAATGTTTGAGATTCTGCAAGTTCACTTTTGAATTTTCAGGCATACTTCAGACCAGCAAATTCGATCGTATGCGACACAAATTTTTACACGGAGAACAAGATGACATTCTTGAACTACAAAAGATGTTTTCGACTAAGAAGCCCAGTTCTTACCTCTTCCACAGTTTTTCCCGCGAAAAAAAAACCGCTTGAGCGCCGTCCAGAACGACGTCAAAAACGTGCATGAGCACGGTAGTTTGAAATTTCGTAACTAAGGTCAGGAAAAGACTGAGAGGCTGCAAAACGCAGGTTCTGTAGCATAGTGCCCACACTATGCATAGAAAAAGTTTCAGCCCTTGAGGAGCAGTGAGCTCGAAAAAATTTAGATCAGGCTCTCGCAAATTTAGATGCGATCCTAAAAAGCAAAAATTGGGATTTTTGAGCTTGAAATTTTGTAACTTACCAGGGAAGTTATAAAACAGCCTGAAATCCTTAGGATAAAAACTAGAGGGATGGCCTCGTATTACAGCAAGTTTGCATCTAACAAGCTTCAATAGCTCCGGAGAAATTCAGATCAGGCGCAGATACGACCCCCCTTTTCTCATTTTTTGCTACCATACATAAAATCATAAGAAAATCCGCAGTTTATAAAATAACACCAGATTTCGCACAGCAGTAGCAGGGCTTATATAAGTACATATAAATTGTAAGTGCCGCATAATTGGCATTACAAAAAGATTTACGAATTATTGATTGTCATCGTTGATCTACATGTGCGCTTTTGTCGAGTGTGCGAGTCTTCAGTGAGCCTTCGGATGCAGGATGTCTACACCAACCGGTACATCCAACATCTTTATCACACATACATGCCTTTAGTAGCATTTGAGCTTCTTAAAGTGTTTATTTTTTGGATTTTAGTCATGCCAGCAAGGTTCGATCCCCGTCTGAGACAATATTTTGCGGGAGAAATAGCGATTCCCATAAAAAAACTAACAATCTTTCAAAAGTGCAGCAAATGAAGCGAATTTCTACCTTGCAAATGTTTTCAAATTATTGTTCACTCGTTTTTATTTGATACATTGGTACACGGCATTCCATGAATTTATTGTTAAGTACATGTAATAATTACTTGCTATTTGATTTGCTTTCAATCGTATAGTTTTTTATCCAAACTACCCCCTCTTACGACCCCCCCCCCTCACCGTAGGCCCCCTTTACGACCCCCGTTGCGACAGTCGCATCACACGCTTGACCCTGGTCGGAGAACCCTTCTTACTAGAGCCACATCACACCGACCTGTATTTCTTTATGCTTAGAAGGGTAATGGTTTGTTAATCCATTATACTGAAACAAAATTCCGATGCGAGGTAGCTTCGAAACAGTGATTCTCGCTTTTGCGTGATAAACGCTGAAATTCTACTGCGAAGCAAAAAAAAAACACGGATTATAATCAGTCAAGAGCCTTTTTCTATGTTCGATTATCTTGTCTAAGCTGACAAAAAACTGCGAAAACTTCACGTCATTTTGGTCGGTTTAATTCTTGGGCAAAGTGGATTACCGCTAGTTTCCTTCAATTCAAATTCTTTTCTTCGCATGTGGAATGATAACACCATCCGTTCCGTATATCTTTTGGTCAAAAATTTCCATATATTCTAGAAAGGGTAGCTATCAAGCTGTGACCGTCATTGTGAAGAGTTTTTCTATTTGACAGCAAGTGTCTAACTTGGTGATGCCATCTAGATAAGAACTTCCAATGTTTGTTCTTTTACTTTTCTTGACGCATCAGCAACAAGAGGTGTGTTGATAAGATCGGTCTCTTGGTTCGTTACTGCCGCAGGGAGGGACTGATCTCTATGTGACTGAGGTCTAAGCATGTGGATCCGATTTTGGTGATGTCGAGAAGCTCATAGATTTATTTTTTCATTAGTATAATACACTCAATGGTGTAGCAAAAGAATGAATAACCAAGGTAAAGAAAAAAGAAAAAACGGGGACTAATGTTCTGGACATGTTATTTAAAGAGAGATGTCTCACAAGGGAACGATCCCAACTTAAGGTGGCGAATTGAAATGAACCGCATATCATTAGATGCGTCTTGAAGAGCTGATTCCAAAACTACCTTCCATATCTGCGACAACGTTATCTGGAAGAAGTTGTGAAAGGTTAAAAATGTGAAGTAACGGGGGTTTTGATGCATAATCTTATATATAAAGCTGAATGTCTGTTTGTATGTATGTATGTCTGTATGTATGTATGTGTGTACGTATGTTCCGAATAGAAAATTCCATTTCTGAACCGATCCGGACCAAACTTGGCACACATACACTACGGGCCCCGGCGGGTGTCATAGGCTACTTTTCGTCGTCGATCGATATCGATTTTATCGATTTTTATCGATTTTTTTGCTGAGTTCACCTACGGGGCTGGGAGTTGGCACAGGGGGGTAATCGAGCATGGGGATTCCGAATACAATATTGGTTTTCAGGATTATCGATTACTTTTATTGATTTTATCGATTTTTTTGCAAAGTTTGAGCTACGGGGCTGGGAGTTGGCACAGGGGGGTAATCGAGCATGGGGATTCCGAATACAATATTGGTTTTCAGGATTATCGATTACTTTTATTGATTTTATCGATTTTTTTGCGAAGTTTGAGCTACGGGGCTGGGAGTTCGCACAGGGGGGTAATCGAGCATGGGGATTCCGAATACAATATTGGTTTTCGGGATTATCGATTACTTTTATCGATTTTATCGATTTTTTGCAAAGTTTGAGCTAGGGGGCTGGGAGTTGGCACAGGGGGGTAATCGAGCATGCTGATCATCCCCAAGGAGGGTGATCAGCATGCTCGACCTTACACCCCTGTGCCAAATTCCAGCCCCCTAGCTCAAATTTTCAAAAAATCGATAAAAGTAATGGACGATCTTGAAAACTAATATTGTATTCGTAATCTGCATGCTCGATTACCCCCTGTGCAAACTCCCAGCCCCGCAGGTCAAACTTTACAAAAAAATCGATAAAATCGATAAAAGTAATGGACGATCCTGAAAACTAATATTGTGTTCGTAATCAGCATGCTCGATTACCCCCCTGTGCAAAATCCCAGCCTCGCATGTCAAAATTTACAAAAAATCGAGAAAATCAACAAAAGTAACCGATAATTCTGAAAACTAATATTGTATTCGGAATCCCCATGCTCACTTCCCCCCTGTGCCAACTCCTAGCCCTGTAGGTGAACTCTGCGAAAAAATCGATAAAAATCGGTAAAAGCGACATCGATCGATAACGAAAAGTGGACTGTGACACCCGCCGGAGCCCGAAGTGTATGTGTGCCAAGTTTGGTCCGGATACGGCGGAGCCGGGTAAGCCAGCTAGTCTGCTTTAAAATTCAACTTGGAAATGCACGACTTGCATCGTATTGAGTGCACTGATTTCACGGAATGCTCACATTCAAAAGAAACGCAAACAAATGCTTTGAAGAGCTAAAAAGCAACTAAAGTTCTTTGGTAAAAGCTATGAGCAATGAAGAGTCCAAATTTGGCAAATATGCAGCGCAATACCTCGAAAATTAGTTGCTCAAAAACACTTATTTGTGTTTCTTTAGAGTGTGAGCATTCCTTGAAATCAGTACACTCAATATCATGCTAGTCATACACTCCCAAGTTGGATTTTGATGCGAACTATGCACTAAAGCCCCCGTTAGTTCACGTTTTTAACCTTTCATAACTTCTTCCAGATAAC